ATCCAACATCTGCAGCATCCAACATCTGCAGCATCCAACATCTGCAGGGTTCTTGTAGGAGCGTTCATGTAAATAATGTCACCGTAATCAATGGAGGAAGGAAAGTCACAGATACAAGGTGTTTTCTAACATTCAGAGTTAGACAGGATCTGTTTCTGAAAAAGAAACCCAGTTTAACTTTCAGTTTCTTTACCAAGTTTTCCACGTGGAGCTTAAAAGAGATGGGAGTCGACCAAGATACACAAATATTTATAGGAATCAACAAACTCAATGGGGACACCATTTGAGGATGAGATCAGAGGAAGAACTGCTGGGACCGACTTCCTGTTCGAAAAAAATCCTCATCATAACATAATTCTGTCAATAACTCTGTTTCCAGACTAAAGATGAATGTCTCTGTTGAAGATGATCTTCATGACATACTGTTGTAGTTCCTCTTATCATTCCAGTTTCTGCCAAGCTTCAGTTGATGCCCTGTTGATCAATTTAATCTCTAATATTGAAAAAAATGCTGTGATGAACCAGTTTCTTTACAGGAACTTCTAGATGCCATCTCGCATCTCAAAATGAACAAATCCCCCGCGCTCCATGGACTAAGTGCTGAATTTGATCAACTTTTTTATCTGAGCCTGCTCCTTCTGCATCTTTTCAGTGAAAGCTTGGAAAAAGGCTCCGCCCCAACAACCCTCAGGGTTTGACCACTCTTACACCAAAACCTAACAAAGATCCTTTACTGGTCGGCTGTGGTTAGAGCAGTCGTCCTCCAATGCAAGAGGTGGGGGTTCGAATCCACCAGCAGTCACATGCCGAAGTGTCCCTGGGCAAGACACTGAACCCCTGGTTGCCTCTGATGTGTGTCCTGTCATGTCTGAATGTGATAAAGCTCTGATTAGTCTCTGTACAGATCTAGTATAGAGCTGTATGACTGTGTAGATGAGCCACAGGTTGTAGTAAAGAGGTTTGAGTGTCTGGATCTGATAGAAAGGAGCTGTACAAGTACAGAACATTACTTTTTACTTTTCAGATCTCTCTTGTAAATGAGTCAGAGTCAGAGTTTCTTTATTGTCATTCGCACCTCATGTGGTACATGTGGTGGAGCGAAATTATGTTCACAGGGTCCCAGTTACATCCAACAATAAAATGTATAAGAAAAACAGTAATAACATCTAAGATATGAACTAAGAAAAACATCAACTAAATATACAC